TTATACAACAGCATTAAAAGACAATTCAATCTAATCAATTTATGTTGTTAGTTACATTTAAAATCTAACTCCAGTTCAAACAGAATAGCCTATTGTCAAGATAATTATAGAGTGTGATTTATTTTCAACTCAAAATATCTTCAAACTAATGAAATATAAAGTTATTAGTGAAGAAAACCCGTCTGGATAACAGCAGACTGACTGCTGGTAAAATATACGACAGGTCTGGACCACTCCTGAATTTTGTTCGTATCTGAAAAAAATCTTAGAATATGAAAACATAGGTGAATGCCACAAATTCTCCTAAATCACTCGTACGCACAACTTAAGAACACATCTGTGTACGAACGGTTCTTACATGAGGCCCACTGTTCTGACAGGGAAGTGAAGACAAGACAGAATTTTAAGTTGAGACCAACGAGCACAAACAAGAAACACCTGGGTGAGAAACATGATCAGGTGTGAGTGGGGGGGGGGGGCTGCAGCAAAGGCAGACAGGAGGAAGAAAACAGATGACAAGACAGAAAACTGGAATAAAACATTAACACAGATATAAGTTAAGACAGTTTGGTTCTTCTCTGTATGCTCCAAACAGATTTTAATATGGAACATCTCCTCTGTCAGACAAGTTCTACTGAACATTATTCCTGCAGTTTATGAGCTCACATCAGTTTTCATATTAATGCACTAAAACCATCAGAAATTATCCATAGAGCATAATGTCTATCGCCCCAATGACATTCAGAGGAGCTGATAGTAGCCCACTGATTATAACAGACAACAAAAAGTAAAAAAATAGAAATAATAACTAAAATCTATTTTAAATTATATTTAAATGGTCAAAATCATTGAAAAAACAGAACTAAACAAAAGATTGCAAGCTAAGTAAAAGGGCAATTTGCATTTATAAAGTTTATAAAGAGGAACCACTTTGTAGGGCAAATTAATTTTGTTAAAGACCGGTGGTGCCTGAAGAAACGAACTGAATGCATATACTGTGTAAATTCAATCAGCAAGCATCCAAAATATATATCTTTAAATTAGCTTCTGTCTATGACATTTGGCCTAGATAATTATCAAATTGATAACAAATTCCTATAAACTTGCTTTTATCATTTACTTGAATATTTACATAACTGAGCAGAGACTCTCTTGAGATGTTCTACTGATATCATGTCAGTAGACTGAAAAATAAAGTTTCTTCTGCTCCTTTTTTGTTTTATTTTATTTTATTTTATTATTATTATTATTGTTATGGTTCTAACTCTCTTTTTTTACTCAGCCTTGGAATCGGCATAAAAATACACTCATTTACTTCATTGCAGGGATTTATTTTAGCCATAAAAATAGTAAAATTAACATCCCATCATGGATCAGTCAGCAGCAGCTTCCCACTAACACGATTTGTTTTGAGTCTGGATGGGATGAATGCTGCTTGGAGGGACGCTGGATGAGGACTAGAAATGAGCTCGCAGCGGCACCCACTGCTCATCGGAGGGCTTTGTTTACATCAGGGTCTCTAAAAGTCTCAATAACAGCAGAAAATGAATTGCTAGATTTTACAGGTCTCTTTTCTGAAAAACAGTCACTAGATGAGTCTGCAAAGTGGCTAAATATAGTGACAGAGGCACTAAATTTGTAACTATTCCACAACCCACCACCTCTCAGGACAGACAGCTGTGTGTCAGGTTAATTAATTCACGCAACAATTTATCGTACATTATAGGATTTTTGGAATTACTGACAGTACATCGTACAGAAGGAAAAGTTATCGTACAAATACAATAATTATCATACTTCTGGCTATGCTGGTCTGCTGCCACTGTGCTCTTACACTGATCAACCACTGGGTGGCAGCATCAACACAGACACCCAAACTGTAGGCAGCGACTTCATCAGCTGTGAGCTCTGTCAGAGACACAACCTTACATGATCTCTCTGTATTTTCAGTGAATGAGCTGGGGGTTGTTCTCATGGGGAACAGCTGGTCTGCACGGAGCCTGGCTGCAAACCTCATCCTGGGACAGACCGGATTCGACACCAAGGAGGAACCAGAAACCTGCATGAGCATCAGAGGACAGGTGAAGAAGAGAGAACTGATCCTCGTAAACACTCCGGACCTGTTGGTTCCCAACATGTCCCAGTATAAACTCACAAAACACATCGAGACCTGCAGGAGATATTCTGCTCCTGGACCTCATGTGTTCCTGCTGGTTCTACAGCCTGAAACCTTCACTGAGGAAGACAACGTCCGTCTCTGCAGAATCCTTGAGTGTTTCAATGAGCGGCCATTTGACTATTCACTGGTCCTGCTCGCACCCCCCACACAGGGAGCTGTGGGTGTCAGGGCCAACTACATGGACCGGACAGACCGGACGGCCTCAGAGGACATGGTGAAGAAGTGCAGAGGACATTTTTCATTTAGCAAGAACACCAAACAATCTGAGCTGCTGAAACAGTTGGACATCCTTCTAGACATCAAAGGACAACGTGTGAGCTCTGACACCTTTGTGGACTCGACAACCTCCGATGGCCAAGTTTCTGGTGAGTGTGACGTGAAAAAAATAGATTCAATCCACTAAAAATCACGAATAACAAATAAAGATGTATTTTATAATAATTAAATAAATATATGAATTCAAACATAAAACAAGTTCATCCTTCTTCAAAGCTGCCATCTGACCCCTCTGATCAATCATTACTATCAATCGGAACATGAGGGATGTCTACTGCAATCGGTCCAGCCTATTCCAGGAGGCCCAAGCTCATTTCCCATCTATTTGACTTGATTAAGAGTCACCCTGACCCATACTGACCCTTCTAGACAAATAGGATTTTTGAATTGTAAACATTTTGGATGAAAGAGATTGAGTGATTGTCTTCTACCCCTTACGTTAGCCAAGGGTCATCCAGAAGACCCCTCAGATGCCAGACACACAGACACCCTTAGGAAGTTTGTGGCAACTTGGAGACTCTTAGAAAAGTTTTTAAAGTTCGACAACGCCATCTGGGACTTTCACCCCAAGAATAAAACTCAAACAAGGCACTTAAGCTCTTTCTACAAATTACAGAGACAGTGGTCCAAGGTTAAAACATAAATTTATTAAAACCTTTACTAAAACAAATACACCTGAAGCAAGTAAAATATTAAAGTTAACACTGATAACTTCATCCAGGCTGAGGCGTCCTGGTGAAGGTCAAACAAACAAACAAACAAACAAATTCACCCAAACTGTACTCCCCAATACAAGGAGTGAACAGGGCCCGTCACACCAAGGGAACCACCACCGAACACAAGACCGCCCCAGTCAGCTCTCAGCCTGTAAGAAACAAACAAAATAAATAAACATAATTATTGTAAAAAAACCTAAATAATACTAAATGAAATTGAACAGTTCTCCCAATAAAATACAAAACAAAATGGGCCTGGTCTAGAAGTCAGCTTGCATCGGCTTCCAAAGCAAAACGCTGCTGAACAAGGAGACTAATTGAAGACCCAACTGAGCATCAAAAGCCACACATCTGAACCTAAGGAGTGCTTAATTAGTAGGTCTCTGCTGACCTTGATGGCAAATTGAGGAGGCCTACTAATTAAGCACTACTTAGATCCAGCTGTGTTGAACCAAGGCAGCACCTAAAACATGCAGGACACCGGCCGTTGAGGACCGACTTTGGACACCACTGATCTACAGCAACAATGGATGGTGCAAGGACACAAACTTTTTTACACATTTCTCACCTTACATTGAGGTTCTGGCAGTTAAATGTCACCCTTTCTACCTTCAAATGAATTCACTGTCATATTCATCATTGCTGTTTACATTCGCCCTGACGCAGACACAAAGGTAGCCTTGGACACCCTCTACAACTACATCAACAATCTGGAAAGCGCCTATCCTGAGGGAGTTTTCCTTGTGGTGGGGGATTTCAACCAATCCTATTTAAGGAAGGCACTCCCTCATTTTTACCAACATGTGGGCTTTGTGACCAGGGGTAAAAACATACCAGATCATGCAAACATTAAAGCAGCACTCAAAGCAGCCCCCTGCCCTAAGCTCATAATTAAATTACATCTCTGTTATGTTAATGCCAGCATACAGACCTCTGCATACCCTGACAAAGCCCTCTTCAAAACTGGTGGGTGTATGGCCAGAGGGAGCCACGGCAACACTGCAGGGCTGCATTAAACCACTAACTGGTCCATTTTCAAAGTGGCTGCCACTAAAGACTAGGAGGTTGACATTGATGAAGTCCAGATGGTGTCAGCCCCAAAGTCCTGAAGACCTGTGCAGATGAGCTCTGTAAGATTCTGCAACACCTCTTCAACCTTAGTTTGACCCAAGAGAAGGTTCCAGTGTTGTGGAAGACATCCTGTCTGATTCTAATACGAAAGTAAACTCATCAGCCCTCAATGACTATAGACCCGTTGCCGTGACATCCCACATCATGAAGGTTCCTAGAGAGACTCCTGTTGACCCACCTGAGTCAGCAAACAAGCACACGTCAGGACCTCCTGATGTGGATGCCATCATACACCTGCTTCAATAAACCCACTGTCATCTGGACAAAGCAGGCAGCACTGTGAGGATCATGTTCTTTGATTTCTCCAGTTATTTTGACACCATTCAGCCTGAGATGCTTTGTCTGAAACTCCAGAAGACTCAGATGGAGGCCTCAACAATCGCCTGGATCAAAGACTACCTGACAAATAGACCACAGTTTTTGAGACTGAAGGACTGTGTGTCTAACCAGTGTCATGTTATTAAATTATCCATGTGATTCCGACTGTTAGCTTAGGGTGGCTTTATTTTCTCTTCAACAAAGCGAAACTCAAAAACATTAAACCGTCCCTCTCTGATGACGTCACACTAGTGCATCTCTCTCTCTTTACTAAATACTCAGTTACACCACATCTCCCCTTTCTAGAATCAATGGGCCTCATACAAGAAAATGTTCGTATTCTTATCCTAAATTTCTCTTACTTTTGTTCGTACAAAGGGTTCGTACGAACATGTCACGTCAGATTCAACAAACACTTCTATCTTCATGAAAAGTGCGTAAATGAGTTGCGTAAATTACACCTGTTCTATCCAGCTGCTCGTGCACGCGAGAGGAGATTAACATAATTACCACCCCGGGGTCTTTCTCCTGCTGCACCCCCCCCCCCCCCGCCGCACCTGATAGCGGATAAGCCAGACGGACAATTTATATTGTTAGTCTAAATTATTACATTTAAAATTATAACTCAAATTCAAGCAGAATAGCCTATTCTGTCCTAGTCTGGATAACAGCAGACTGACTTCACGTAAAATATACGACAGGTCTGGACCACTCCTGAATTTTGTTCATATCTGAAAAAAATCTTAGAATACGAAAACATTGGTGAATGCCACAAATTCTCCTAAATCACTCGTACGCACAACTTAAGAACAAATCTGTGCGTACGAACGGTTCTTGCATGAGGCCCAATGAGTAGGCTGCTATTGATTCTGCAGAAACTTAGGGGGTTATTCTGCCCCTGTGGCAGGAAGGTCTCCTCCTATCTTCATCTTGGACCATGCTCACACATAACAGACACACAGCAGTTTACCCTTAGATTGGAACATTGGAAATTTGGTTTGCTTGTTTGTCTTTGTGTCTATGGTGTATAATGATGTGATTGTGATGCTGTATTTCTGAGTGTTTTATGTGCTGCAGAACAGGAACCTGCTGTAAAACAGCAATTATGCTGTGTCAGGCTTGATTTTTAGTAATCTTTTCCTGTTAAATCAATAAATCTAATCAAATCAAATCAACACTAATTTATGAATAGAATATCAGAAAAACTGTGCCGTCTGCGCTAACTCTGACCTCTGAGACTTGCACATTTACATTTAAACAGTGCATAAAACAATAATGAGCACAGCATGTTCATTTAAAGTAACAAACACTTTCTTTTATTTTTCTTTTAACACTTTGGGTCCTGCACAATCTGCAAAATTTACAAATCTAATTGGATTGGTTTTACCATCGCTCTCCCAGACCTGGTTCTGAAGGAAGGAGTGGATGGTGTTTCTGGAACGTTCAACTGCAGTGGTGCTGCTGCAGGTTGTTTTGGACTCCCCAAACTATGCTCAGCTGCACCACAGGTACTCTGCTCCGGCAGAGGCTGCATGGCCACAAGATGGCACCGGTTCCTCCTTACGATCTCGTGGGATCCTTCCACCAGATATGAGCGGGGTGTAGTGTGGCTTCCGATGACAGTACCAGCTGCTCTTTGGTCTGCAACCCACACATTCTGTCCTGCTGTCAGTCTATTAAGATTCTGTGCCCAGTGTCGCAGATCATAGCATTGAGCATCTTTTTTCCTTCTCTCCTTTTCCTTCTGTAAAACAGCATCTCCATCAGGAAGAGCAGGATTTAGCAATGAGGGGAAAATAGGCACAGTGGTGCGGAACCTCCTTCCCATAAGGAGTTGAGCTGGACTATATCCATTTTGGAGTGGAGTAACCCTGTAAACAAACAGAGCGAGGTACAGATCGTCTGACCTTTTCAATAGCCCCTTCACCGTCTGCACTGCATGCTTAGCTTCTGCATTTCCCTGAGGGCATTTTGGGCTGCTGGTCACATGACGGAACCCATAGGACTCTGCAAACTTAGCAAAGGCTGCTCCAGAAAACTGTGGCCCATTGTCAGTCACTAAAGTCTCACAGATCCTGTTACATGCAAAAACTGACTTCAAGTGGAAGATCACATCATTAGACCTTGTGGGGTTTAGAAGAGCGATCTTCACTTACCTCGACATGTAGTCCACCACTAGGAGGTAAGTCTTGCTCCCTATCATAAACAGATCCGTTCCGCACTTTTGCCATGGTCGGCCTGGAAACGGTGTTGTCATCAGGGGCTCCCTGTGGTTCTGTCTCTCCTGGCAGCATGCTCTGCAGTTAAGAACCAACTTGTTCAGCTGCTGTCTGAGGCCTGGCCACCACACAGACTGCCCTCCCGACACTTGGCCACATCTTGATGTCCTTCATGCAATTTTGCAAGAACATCATTTCTCAATGTAGAGGGAATAATGAGTCTTTGTCCTTTTAGTAGTAGACCATCCTGAACTGTAATGAGGGATCGTTCAGCCTAGTATGACTTTAGTGCTGGTTCTTTGGGCGGCTGTGGTAGAGTGGTTAGGGGAGTCGTCCTGGATCCGGAAGGTCGCCGGTTCGATACCCTGTCCGGTCGACTCAGTCGTTGTGTCCTTGGGCAAGACACCTTTCCCGCCTTGCCCACTGATGGTGGTCAAAGGGTCTAGTGGCACCTGTGTATGGCAGTCTTGCCTCTGTCAGTGTACCCCAGGGCAGCTGTGGCTACAATGTAGTTTGCCATCATCAGTGTGTGTGCATGGGTGAATGTCTGTAAGTGTAAAGCGCTTTGAGTGTCCTGGATGGATAGAAAGGCACTATATAAGTACAGTCCATTTACCATTCTTTATTTTTGTTCGTAGGCCAGCCTTGTTCGCACAGCTGCATCACGCGCGCACACACACACTGTCCCTCTGCAGCTGGTCCTTC